CTGAAATCATACTTGTGATTTCAAATCGAACTCCCGCTGCGCGCTCGTTCGATTTTGAAATCACGCGTATCATTTCAGACCAAATTGCACTCCACTCAGTTCAATTACCATTATGACTTGTACGAGACGAGGTTCAATTATTAATTAATTGTATCTACAACAAATTTCGGAATTAAAAATGTCTTTTGAGCACTTGTTTTGAGTGAAAACGTCCGTAACGCTTTTCAAAAGTTTTGAAAACTGTAGGGTATCCAATTACAAGTGTCCAATTGCAAAAAGTTCAAATTGGATATCTGTAATCAGACACCCACGTGATCGCGTGCCGATTACGTGACAAATAGGCGCGCGGAGAGCCAATCACGATCGAGAATTTTGTTATAAATACCATTATATAATTTTATTTTTTCCGTATGCGTATCTTTAATTCACACTGTCAATTAGTTTTACGTATTTCCGATATTAAGAAAATATGCTACATAAAAACACGTCCCAATGTAAAATTCTCATTGTACCTGAAGAAGGCTGGTTTGGCCAGCCGAAATATAGTATACATTCAAAAAATCATCCTTCGTTGTGTCGGTTTCTGCTTTTGTATTCTTCATTTTATATGTGAAGCCGATTAGATCACTATTGATCCAAGGTATACCAGCAGGATCATCAGTCTGGTGGCTTGCTTGAACATTTTATACTTATACGTTCATCTCACATACAAAGATGTTGATCGTTTTCGGAACGGGAGGGTCCACGAATTATCTTGCTTGAGAGCCTGCCAAATAAGCAAAGTTCATGCTCGTTCTTACGAGAGAACAAATGAGCCATGTACGAGTTCAAACTAAGAAAACCATGACCCGTAAATATTTATGACTACTGATTTAAAAACAAGTTATGATGCTGAAACGAGCACTACAGATGTTGAAAAAATCAAGAATCGTGGAAGATGAGGTAAACAACATACAATTGGACAAAGAGGATTCTCAACGAAGCAACTTGAATGGCAAATATCTAAGCGCAACTCTTGTGTTAAAATATCCTGATTCTTTTATTTGTTTTTATTGTGTTCAGTCAGCTTACTTGTAAAGTACGATTTGATATTGCGGTACGAAGCACGAGTAAACGTTCTAAGAGCGTCTAGTCGTCGAACTAATGTAAGATATCAAACCGAGAGGTGATTTGAAAACAAATAACATCTGGTTGAATCATGTGGTGTTCGACGAGCAACAGGCTACAATAATTCTAAGAAAAGGTGACAAACAGTATCAAAAAGTTATAGACAAACAACTTACAGATATTTCCTCGTATTGATGTGAACTGGTTGATTGAAGTAAGTGATGAACTAAACAAGAACTTGATGCAATTGACACGATTGTTGTATGACAATGCGTACTGAACAAAAATCTTGCGCAACGAATCACATGAATTTTACATGTATATAGTTTAATCAACGTATTTTAATGTAGTAATATACACGATCCCATAAGCTTTGTAGCTTTGATTCTTATCGTGTTGAAATAATGTTATGATCGTCGAAGGGGAAATGTCACGCCCGTTTGAATCCTACCTACGGGCCCTTTAATGCGAACTGAAAGCATTTAAACTTAGGTGAATGATTCAAACGGAAGAACGTGAGTACTATATTGTCACTAAATCCATTCGAAATGGTTCATCACACTCAAGTTAATAAAGAAACAACTGTTATCTGACGGTATAAGCAAATTGAGGACATAGACTTCGAGCAGTCTCTCTTTTGCTTTGCGCGAAAATCCGTGGGGAAGAAGGCAAAGAAAAACGCAACACATGCGAACGGTGGGTCGAGCGTGCGAGCGTGATATGCGAACGGAACCCGCGAGCCGCCCGCGCTACTCGCCACTCGCAGTCACACTTCTTTTGCTTTCTTCGTTGCGTTCTCCCCATGGATTTCCGAGCAAAAGAGAGACTGCTCGCAGTCTATTGAGGACATCAAGATCAACAATATTTAGCTGCTCTCGTGGAACCTAGGAGCCTCTAGACGAACGATCTTGTCGATGGGTCGTTCCAGGGCTACGCACTTAGTTTTCAGCCTGACTCTCCTCACAAGCCCGTCTCTCTTCAGTGTTTGGTTTTACTTCCAGTATGCGACCAATGGATTACAAGTTTTCTACCATGAGTACAATGTCTCCAGTTTCAAAGTGACACCTTAATCTTTGCAGTGACTGCCTTCTCACTTTATTAATACAAACTCCAACCGAATGGAATTAAAAACATAAGCTCACAAGTACGAATTCCAGGGTTCCATTCAATTGAATTCCAGGGGTGCTTACCATTTAGCAAAAAAATCCGGAACTTTCGGTTGAAAGTCAAATGGAACAGTAATTTTCCGGAAAATCCGTTCGGAAATTGTACACTACCTCCAGAGGTAGTCCTCTTTTTCCGTTCGGAACGGAGCGACGGAAATTTTCTCACCATTTGGAAAATGTTCGGGTTTCCAGTCTCTCATCAGCCGAAAACAATTGCGAAAAATCGAAACGCAAATGGTAAGCG